TTTACTTATTGAGAGAGATTTTTGCTATAGGGCAATTGCACTTGTTGAAAGACAGAGAGACAGAAAGTGAGAAATCACCCCCCAGGGAAGATGGCCATGCTGTAATCCCTTCTCTTCCATCTTCCTCTCTGGATCTTGGACACACACATCCACATGCCCACAGTGAATTTCAAGCCAATAGATCTAGGACTCAAACAGCAGTCAGACATGTGGGAGTCCAATGACATAACCATTACACCATCTCCTGGTCCCAACTTCAACTAGTTTATTTATAGTAAGGTTGCACACCAGTTCATAAGACCTTATTGCTGAATAACTTGCAATGTTAAAATATTTTGTCACATTGACTTTAATTCTACTCTCCTATAAACCTAACTATTTATTCTAGCTTTTCCTTCCAAGGATGGAAATAAACACTGCTTTTGCCTCCTGCAGGATAGGACATTTGAAGACAAGTATCCTGTTTATTTTTTTCTGTTTCCAGGCTAAATATTTAATGATAATTTTCAATTATTTATATCTATTCATTCATACTTTTATTCATCTATATATTCTTATATTTTTAAGAATTATTTTATTTTATTCATCATCATCTTTTTAAATTTAATTTGACTAGAGACAGACAGAGAGAGATTGTAGGAGAGTGATAAAGCAAGCTGCCCAATCTGGGACTTGAACCGTGATCAGCCATGTGGAAGTCCAGCACCTTGACCACCATACCACTAACCAGCCCACCTAATTTTTTTTTTTTGCCATAGGGCACATGCACTCTCTGGAGAAAGGGGAAGAGAGACAGAGAGAGGGAAGTGAGAAATCACTCCCCAGAGGAGATAGTTACACCAAAATCCCTCCTCCCTTCTTCTCCTGGGATTTTTGGACATTCATTCTTGCATATGCACCTGGTGTGATTTTCAAGGCACCAGGTCCAGGACTCAAACTGCAGTTAGCCAGGTGGAAGTTTGGCACCTTACCCACTATGCTACTTTCTAGCCCCATTTAGTAAATGTTTCAACAATTTATAACTCATTAAAATAAATTTGGCTTTAGTAATTCTGTAGTTGATTAAGCATGGATTTTACTAACAATCTTACTATGTGATCAATTTCATTGTCCTTATAACCTTCTACCCTTCTATCAAAAAATACATGTAAATGTTTTATATGCATATAGAATATATATGGATAGATATGTATCACATCAAATAAGACTCATCTATGAAAGTTGTGTGAATATTTAAAGTTACCTTAAAATATTCTTAAATATTGGGACCAGCAAATGGTGTAATGGGGTGCATCACTGGACTCCCATGGAGTCAATCACGTTTCAAGTCCTAGACCTGGCAACTTAAAATTCACACTGGGCACCTGTGTGTGCGTGCCCAAGATTCCTAGAGAAGAATGGAGGAGAAGGGACTGTGGAGCGGTCATCCCTCCTGGGAGATTATTTCTTGCTTTCTGTCTCTCTGTCTCTCTCTGTCTCTTCACTGATCACATGTGCCTTATAGCCAAAATCTTTCTGAAAATAAATTTAAGATTAAAACATTATTATGGGCCTCATGGTAGTGCAGCAATGCAACTAGACCCCATGACCAAGGTCTTAGGTTAGCATCCTGGGGTCTCCCTGAGCATGCCAGACACATGTGTACATGCGTGCAATCTGGGCAGGTTGAGGCTGGGGTGGATTGTGGCATGAAGACCCTGTTATTGGTACTTCTCTCTCGCTTTCCCTGTCTCTGTCTCATGAAAGACATAAATGAATAAACTTAAAAAGTAAACAAATACAAAAACATTGGTGTCCATAACTGACCTAACTTAAAACTCAGGAAGGCAGGGGCTACATTGTTCTCAGAAGCTGACCTATTTAGGAAGTTGTGACAAAACCGAGATATGAATTCAAGACAACAAGCATCTCCGCTGAAGCCTGTGCAGGGTTCTCCTCCCTTTGTTCCTATCAGCCTAAAGCCTGAAGGTCCATCAAGGTTTGGCATCAGGGGAAACAGGGAAGCTTCCTAGGAAGGCATTTATCATGAAATAAAAGAAAGCAGATGGGAAAATTTGATGACAGAGACAGAAGTACAGTGAAGAAGTGCTGCTGAGAACATTACGGTGTCTCTCATTTTGGTTGTCTCCTTCGGAACAATGCCCTGCAGAGCCATGTGGGTTTGCAGAAATAAATGAAGAGGAAATTACTGTTGGGGAATGATTAGACCATTACGATCTACTCACTACACTTAGCAAGGCTGATAACGAATCCCTGAAGGGGCCAGGCTAGCAGATGTATTAAGACTTTGGACATAATAATGTAAACTCTTTTGTTTTGGATTCTGCCTCCTCACACGGATATTGAGCCTAAAGCATTTGAGCTGCAATCAATGATGTTTTGGAAAGAAAGCCAAGAAGCAGTAGTGTGGGTTTGCAATCAGTACAATCCATTTTAAATCTCAACTCTGTCTTGTTACTGGCTGTGTGGGGTAAGACAAGATACTAAAATCATAGTGAAACTTTGTTTCCTTGTCTATCTACAAATAGAGAAAATAACATTGTACAGAATGGAGCTAGACACCTAGGGTGACATTTGAGATGCACTCTAGAATACCCAGCAGAAAGAAACATATTTTTCTTCTACTTGCTCTTAGCCCATGGGAAACTATGACTAATATTGAAAGAATATGTAGACAGAGGTCATCCCACCAAAGTATTTGTTTATTAAAATCTTAGAACTCAAATGATGAAACAACAGAAATGTCTCATATGTTCAGGTGTTCTCTGCAAGTTATTAACTGTATGTGTGTGTATTTGTGTGTGTATATGTACACATACATACGTATGCATATGTATGTATGTATGTCTTTCTATCAGCGCCATCTTCAGATGTCCTAAAGGACATTTCTTTATCATTCATCTACAGTAGTACCTTCTGCAGAAACTTGGTCTTTTGGTCTTTCCCAAGCATATTTGAACTGACATAAGAATGAATGACATCCTCTGATCTTTCTAATAGGCCCTAAGTGAAAGATTCTGAATCCAAATCTACAATTTAAACATATCCTATATGTTTCGTCTCTCCTTCTCTGTTAATCATTATATACATGAAAATATTTTAGAGAATATAACTTTTTGAGATATAGTGAGAAAGTTCTTTTTATATGAAAATATTGCCTTTTCTCTTCTCTCTTTGCCGAGGGGCCTACAATAACTCTATAGAGCTTGGTAATTACATTTAGAACCAGCATTTACTCACTTATCTAAATAGTTCTCTGAGGCAGGGGACAGCAAGGTCTGTGGAGTTCCGTGGGCTGGAATGTCCTCAAACTGTGGAGGTAAGAAGATGGAGAGGACAGCCAGAGATGAAACAATTTGCCCAGATGAACTGAGAGGTCGAACAGCCAGCATCTAGGCTTTTCACTTGTGAGAGAAAAATAGTGCATTAAGAAAAAGAGTGAAAGGGAAAAAGTTTCTCCTCTGCGTCTTTATTTCACTGAAAGAACAATATGGACTGATAAAGGTTTATGAGTTAATTAACAGATATGGTTTATTACCTGTTGATGGTGGCATGTATAGCATTCTCAACCGAATTGGTCTGAGAAGTATTTCATGATGGGTAAACTCTTTTCACAAGCAAAATGACAAATAGTGATTGAGTGTTTAAAAAAATAATTAGAATAATAATAATAATTGGGAAAAACATTGAGAAGATATTGAATGATGAAGTGGGGAGAGTAATGTCTCTGTATTGACTGACACGCATGGCATTCCCTTTTGAAAAAGCAATGTAACATACTGTAAAGCTATGTGCAATCCAATGTAATATAAACAAGATTATGATGATAATAAAAAATAAATTAAGAAAATGAATAATTAAAAAAATTAGCGAGCTCTCCAGATAGGAAATAATAATATAATATTATAATATAATATTATATATCATACTCATGAATGGCACACATTTCGTCAAAAAAAGATGCCAAACTCACTGTGTTAAAAAATCCTTTTATCGCACTCTGATATCACTTAGGTTCCAACTTACAACAAAATGGAAAATTAGTCTTTCTTATCATTCTGACCACTTAGGGTAAGGAAAACTGAGTTATATCACCTGGAGGAAGCACTCGTGAGAATTTTGTTAGGACTGAGTCCTGACTGCATTTGTTCTGTGACTGGTTCTAGTGGTGGCCTTCAGTGTCATAGGAGGGTATCGGTGTGACTTTGCAATATTGTCTGACTCCTATATTATTTCCTGCAATCTCCATAATGGTGACTTGCCATCTATAACCAAGCCTTCTAATCTGAATTCTGGAAAAGGTAACTCTCCTTAAAAACTTTCTTTCCTATTTATTCTGAAAACAAATTCTCTACAAATTCTTTCAAATTAAATAACACAGAATGAAATGAAGCAAAGATCCTGATATTTCTGCCTTTCAACCCAAACCAAACCAAAACAAAACTTATAAAAAATGTACTTTTCACAGAACAGCTTCATTAGATTCATTTAGCACTGACGCCGTCATGGACTTTGAGTGGCAGGGCAAGCGTTGTCTCTGCCTCGGTCCTTCACTCTGGGTTGGGGCTGCCAACTCAGGCCAGTCCTTAGGTCATGTTGTCAGAGTGCACTGCCGTGTATATTATGGGGTTAGTAGCATACACAAATGCCAATAAAGGAGGTGGATATTACTAAACAATTTAAGGGGGAAACTCAGTAATCCGAGCCTCCAAATAACAGAAGCCAGGTCTTAGAAAGTGCCAGGAGGTGGATAGGAGCCCGTGACTCTGAGCTAGGGCTTTGCCACTGCAACTCGTCGCTCCATGGCCTGTGCTTTCTGTGCCTTTCTGCTTATGCTTCGTTGCCTGGATGGAACCCAGTGTTTAGGGACAGCTCTGATCAGTACATGTTCTTGATAGCAGAAATCTAACAGATGGACTTCAGGACATTCACATTAGCAGGCCCACAGTCTCACAGAGGGCAAGTCTTCCACCTTCAAGATTCTCTCTGACATCCCTTCCTCATCTAGATCTCTGTTTCCACAACACCCTGTTCAGGGCACCCTTGACCTCTGCATTTCTCAGGCTGTAGATCAGGGGGTTCAGCATAGGGTTGAAAAGGCTGTAAAACAGAGACAGGGTCTTCTGCTGCTCCTCAGGGTGGCGGGACTTGGGGGCCATGTACATGACAATGGCGCTGCCAAAGAACAGCCCCACCACGCAGAGGTGGGAGGAGCAGGTGGAGAAGGCCTTCCTGCGACCCTCCCCTGACTGGATCCTCAGGATGGCAGCCAGGATGCGTGAGTAGGAGACCAGCACCAGGCATAGGGGCCCCACCAAGATGAACACAGATGCTGCAAAGATGACAACCTGGTTGAGCCTGGTGTCAGCACAAACCAGCTTGAGGACAGACAGGAGTTCACAGAAGAAGTGGTTGATTTCATGAGGCCCGCAGAAGGGCAGTCGCAGGAGGAGAACTATGTGGAGCAGGGCCAGGAGGGAGCCACACGCCCAGGAAGTAACAGCCAGGACAGTGCACACTCTCCAGCTCATGATGACAGAGTACTGCAGGGGGTGGCAGATGGCCACATACCTATCATAGGACATCATTACCAGGATGAGACACTCGGTGTGAGCAAAAGCCATGTATAAAAACGTCTGCATTATGCATGGGGCAAAGGAGATCATCTTTTTCTTGTTCAGAAGGTTTGCCAGCATCTTGGGAACATTGTTGGAAGCATAGGAAATGTCAACAATGGCCAAGTGTGAGAGGAAGAAGTACATGGGGGTGTGCAGCCTGGAGTCCAGCCAGATAAGCCCCAGAATGACCCCATTCCCCAGCAGGGTCAAGGTGTAGAACAGGGAGAAGAGCCCAAAGAGAAGCACCTGAATACTTGGGCCCACGGGAAATCCCAGGAGAATGAATTCTGTGACCCATGTCTGATTTTCTGTCATGCCCTGGCAACAGTGGCTATACTGGTCACTGCCGGGCAGTGAGGTGGAGCTGAAAAGCAAATGCAGGTCTGAATTAATCTTTAAACAGGTTATGTTGTACATTGTATGTCAAACCAGTCTGATTTTTTTCAGAGTTATTATGTCACAACCTTGTGTCTACAGTAAAACAGAAAGCAAAGTCCACTCAAATAACTCATGTAAGTGAATACAGACAGGATATGATACACTATTACCATTTCTTTTTTTTTTTTCTTTTTTTGGAGAGGTTTTTGCTGTTGGGCGCGTACGCTCGCCAGACAGACAGAGAAAGACAGAGAGACAGAAAGCAAGAAATCACCCCCTGGGGGGATGGCCACGCCTCAATCCCTTCTCTTCCATTCTCCTCTTGGAATCTTGGGCACACATGCACACACACCCGGCGTGAGTTTAAGCCACCGGGTCTGGGACTCGAACCGCGGTGGACTACATGGGAGTCCAGTAACATAGCCATTACGGTAACTGCTGGTCCCTACCATTTCTACAGACTTTTACTTAACTTTTATTGCAAAACCCACATCTCTATTATCATGATGGCAGACACAGAGTAAATCATTTTCCAGAATAACTAGAAATTTTATTTTTTAGAAAGGATTATATCCTATTCTCAAATACTTTTACTTTCTAATTTATTTAGGTTTCTTAGTTTGTTTCTACTTCTCTTAATTATCTGATTTTCTCTTATTTTATAATATAGGGAGAGTACTTGGCACATAGCAGGTACTCAATAATTAAAGAGCAAATTGGAAATAAGAAAGGATGGGAGGAAAGTAAGAAAGAAAGAGATTTACAAATACAATTTCAAAGAAGAATGTGTCTCTGTGTTTACTAGCTTTAGTAAAATAAAAATTACATTAAGTTTTCTACTTCCTAATATTACCTAAAAATATGTATTTTTTCCCTTCTTGGCATGAGCAGAGTGACATGACTAATCTGGCCAGCATTCCTTGAAGTATTTTCTGATATTTGGTTGGGACAAGTGGTTATCTACACAAAGAATTAATAGTGTATTCTCCCTCCTGTCCACATCCCAGCCCTGTGCAGGGCTGCTTCCTTAGATCTGAGTAGATGTCATTTCTGGTACAGTGACCTACAGCATTTGGATGGTGCCCATTGCAATTGTTGGACAGATGGAAGGATGGATAGATGGATGGATGGAGAATAGATGGATGGATGAATGGATAAACAGATGAATGGTTAAAGGATGGATGAAATGGATGGATGAATGGATAAACAGATGAATGGTTAAAGGATGGATGAAATGGATGGATGGATGGATTGATGGATGGATACAGGGACTGATAAAAGGAATTACATTAGGAATAGCATCCAAAAAACATACCCTAGATTTTAGTAAAATCTTTAGTCTCTTCTTTAATCTTCTCTGGCTGGCATTCCATTGACCATATGGCCACAGGGGCTACAGAAAAGGAAAGTCTGAATGTTTCATAGAAGTGTACAGATATGAAGTGATCAGAAGGTCATTCTAGTGGACAGCTATGAGTCTATTTCTGCAAATGCCAACAATATCTTCAACCCAGAAAACTGCCTACAGCTAAGTTGACCATTTACCACCTTCTCCTAGACCCCAACTTTTCTAAACTGCTGTACATTGAAAGAGACTCTTTACTCACTGTGATACCAGTCCTTGTCTTATCTCAGAAATATGATTAGATTTAGAGGAAATTTCACAAAGATTAAGGAAGCTTTTGAATGTCAGAACTGAGGATCTTTCTCCCTCCAGCAGCCTCTGAATGGGGGACTTTCCAAGTGTCGGAGTCGTCACTGTTCTCTTAACACAGGCTGACGCAGGGCCTGAAACCTGCTCATGGGGAACAACAGCAAAAAGGTTTTATAGTGACGCCACTGCCACTCAAGTTCCTCCCAAGTTGTCCCAAAGGAGCCAACACTCAGTCTCCATACCTACCAAGAGAACAAGAAGTCATTTGTCTTTGTATCTCCACTTCTTTGGGCCCAGGGGATGGACCTTCATGAGAAAAGGAGCAAGCAGGTGATGACTTAATACCCAGCTGGATCCACATACATGAAACTCTTGTAGGAATAAGAACATACATACTTACTCCTGGGGCTGCATTACAAATTATGTCTCTCAGGTATTTGAATGGGGATGAGTTTGTGCATCTCAGTCTTGCCCCAAATTGATTAAGTGGAGTCTGGAAGAGGCAATCATCATCTTCATGAGATAATGATTTGAGAATCTTCTCCTCAGGGACCAGCAGTTGGTGTAATGGCTATGTCGCTGGACTCCCATGTAGTCGACGGTGGTTCAAGTCTCGGATCCGGTGGCTTAACTCATGCCAGGCAATGTGCTTATGTGCTCAAGATCCCGAGAGGAGAATGGGTAAGAAGGAATTTTGATGGCGTAGCCATCGCCCCGTGGGGTGATTTCTCACTTTCTGTCTCTCTGCCTCTCTCTTTCTGGCGAGCACACACGCTCTATAACAAAATCCTCTCCAAAAAAAAATAGAAATAATCTTCTCCTCCTTAGATAATCCTAACCTAACCTTGGTGCCGGTAGATAAGCAAAAGCACTTACATCGACCTTCCCATACTGTGGTGAGAAGGATTCTGGGATCTTTCCATGTTGTACCTGAGATTTGACATGGTGAGGAAGAAGCTAAGGAGAGAGAAAGCAGAGCAAAGTCGGCAACGAAGATGTGTCCTGGTCCAGCCCCTTGTTAAGGCAGTAAGTGTCTAGTTCACATCTCCAGAATGACGGACACTCATGAAGTTCAGAGAAACTTCTGACCTTGGATAAGAGCGCCTGACTGAGATGTAGTATTCATAGTCAACAAGGACACATGAGCAGAGGAGTCTTTGAAAACTTTTTGAATGCCTTTCTTATGTCAGGCCTGTGTGTGGGTGTGGGTGTTTACTGATGGGCAAAGGTTTTAGAGAAATGACCAAAACTCATTTATCAGAACAAATTTTGTTCTTTACTTGTGAGAGATGTAGCTTGTTAATATGTAAGACACGTGACTCATTGCTAAGCAGAGGGAGAAGTGATACATCTATGACTTCGGCTCACATCCAATCGAAGTTTCAAAGTAGGTATATTTCCATGGGCAGAATAATGAAGCTCAAGGAATAATTGTCCTCTAACCGGGGCAGAGTTGTAAAGCACATTGTTCAGCAGCTCTCTGTAGCAGTCAAAATAAATAAATAAATAAATAAATAAATAAATAAATAAATAATTAACTGATGTAGTTAGCAAAAGTAAACTACACTTATTGAGTCCATAAAACTGGAAAATTAAACCAAAAATAATCAAGGTGCTATTCAATGATCTGTACATTATTCATACACGGATACTATATGAATCATACTCCATGTACACATATTTAATATTTTATCCATTTATCAATTAACTGATTCAATGGACAGTTCTTGAATATTTGCTGTTACAAGCTTTGTTCTGAACATTGGAGAAGCAGACATGAATAAGATGCCATCTGGATCTCCCAGGAGTTTCCAGCTTTCTTGTAAAGTAAGCCATGCAAGTGAACAACTAAGGGACCATGATACAGGGGAGTCTGAATGGGAATAAGGAAAGGTTCACCATGGGTGGAATGTTTAGACACTCTTTTGGAAGACATGAGATAGATAGGACTCACCAGGCTGTGTCCTGGGGCATAGCAGGAACAGCAAACAAAAGACACTGGGAAAATAGCTCATGGACAAGCTTCTGTGCCCCATGAGGGTGTAGGGCCTCATTGTAAACAAAGAGAGAGTGATGTGACCACATAGGTAGTAATGAATGTGACTTTTGGCTAATAAAACTTTTTGAAGGGTTGTTTAAAAGAATGAGATTGGAGACTGAGTTCAAGGTATCTGAAAACTCTGCATGTTTAAGCAACAGGTAATGAGTACTTGGATTAGGGTGGAGGCCATGAGAAAGGGTAGGAGGGAATGGAATGTAGCATGAAAAGAAATTGCAGTTAACAGCATTGAATGACTGTGAGTGGGCTGAGAGGGAAAAAAAGAAACAGAACTGGGATGTTTCCCAAGTTTCTGGTTTATACGGCCTTATACAGAGGGTTTTCATTCATTTATAAAGAGAATAGCTGGGAAGCACATATTTTAAGACAAAGAATAGAAAAATGGTAGGTTTGGTGTGACTGTGTAACTGAAATAGTCCAGCAGGGAGTTCAGTTTTGTATAGGAGTTTATTAAAGGTATCTGGTTCAAAGGTAGGGATTTGCGAACCATGTGATAGACAGAGTCATAGTACTAAGTAAAGGTAGTTAAGGAGAGTGAGTTCGGTGAGCATAAAAGAGGGCTAAAAGGACCAGCAGGTGGCGAGGTGGTTAAGGTGCTGGACTTTCACGTGTCCCATCATGGTTCGAGTACCAAACCAGTCAGCTTAAAGATTATGCTGGGTGTGTGCGCATGCATGTCCAAAATCAGAATGGAGGAGAAGGGAATGTGGCGTGGCCATCCTCCCTGGGAGCTGATTTCTTACTTGCCTTCTCACTGACACTCTCTGTTAAGTACACTTTCCCTATAGAAAAAAAGATAAAGACAAAGACAAAGGCAAAAAGGCTAAGAAGAGTATTAGCCAGTGTTTAGGAGGTGGAGAGAGGAAGATCCATCTCCAACAGAGCAAGAAGAAAGATCAGAGCGGCTGCAAACCAGAACGTACGAGTGAAGGAAATGAATGAGCTATGCTGCATGAGATGCCAGGAGGCAAACTCGGATATTTCCTTTAACCACATGACTAACTCTATTTTTTATAAAAATGAACTTATTTTCATTTATCGACAGAGGGCATGTGCACTAACCAAAGAGAGAGAGAGAATGAATGCATCCTGCTTCAAGAGGACATGGTCATACTGAAATCCCTTCTCCATTTCTGCATCCTGTCTGGATTTGGGGCATGCATGCACCTGCACCTGGTATATTTTTCAAGCTACTGGGGCTTGGAGGAGTTTGAAACATAGTTG